AAACTATTGACTTTAGGTATAGTCTAAATCAAATTGTATAGGCTATTAAAATTTTAAATCCATATAGTTTGCGAAACACCCTGTATAGCATTATATTAAATATAAAATTGCAAAATAACTAATTACAAAAAAGCGAAAAACAACTGATTAAAAAATATACATATATCTAAATAGCCGATCGCAACATAAAAAATAAAGTCTTTATTCTAATTTATTTATTGGGTAAATATTACTTTCCTCAGTTTGGAATTAAAATTAAAGCTTGCTTATTAAGTAAAAAATAAATTGAAGCTTGGTTGTGTAGCAAAAAATAAAATTAAAGTAGGTTATAATTTCTAACTGGCTAACGCTGTCTATAAATATTATTTAGTTTATTCATTTTATAAACTGAACTGTCATATTATCTTTCATGCTTCCAATGGTAGGTTACCATAGAGAAAAAAGTCTATGATGCCTACTATAATCAAAATTAGTAAACTTGGAAAAAAAATTAAATTTATAAATAAAAGTAATTTTAGCTCCATCTATGGTGATTTTTTAAATAAATATGTAAGAATTGTATGTTATATATAATATATTATATGTAATATATAATGTATAATATGTAATATATAATACATTATATTATAAAACTAGATAAAACAAAATATACTTTGTAAAACACGTTAGTATTATGCTCTTTGAAGGCCTAACTTAAAAATGACGTCTCTCGTAGAAACATAATTTGCATATAGAAGTTTATATATCAAATAATAGTTAATTATCAGTACTTTACCGTGATATACTCAAAATTATAAAACAACGTTGCTTCTTCGATTTTTTAACCCTTAAAAAATGGTAAAATTTTAAATTAAATTGTCCCCAGCGCCCCCTGTATGTTAAAATCTAAAAAAAATAATACGTGGATTTATTGTCATTAATTAGGTCTACATTTTATCTTAATTTCAAATCGATACGTTTTTAAATAAAAATGATATTACAAAATATCGAAATTTATCTATTTTTAACACAGTAGAGTAACTTAAGGCCTGTTAACCACAGCGGTCAATGGATGAAATTTTTTTATTGAAAAAAATGCACCATTTAGATGTAGAAACAAGGTAAAAAAAATATATTCAATTCTGACATCACTTGCAAACAAATGTCCAAAATTTGTTCGATTTTTACGCGAAACCATAGTTAAACATACACCAAATTACGAGGAAAGATCATATAAAGTTGTGTTATAAACATTTAAGCGATTGGACAGAAATTTAAACTTAACTCGTAGCGGAAACGACATGGATTTCTTAGATCAAAGTACGTGTATCACAGTTAGCTAGTGACCATGGTCACTAGCTAAAAGCTACAAGCTTAATTGCGGTACACTTTAGTCCCCGTATACCCAAAGCAACGTTTCCAAATTTGCAACATTAAAAAAATGTATTATTTACTTCATAACTGGAAGAATTGTTTATGCCTAAAATTACCCACCGCTCAAAATTCCCCCACCTTCCCCTACAATAACAATTGCAATAAAGTCCAATAAACATGCAATAACAATTGCAATAAAAACCACTAGCACTACAACGTTTAAATCGACTATTAATCCGTAAACACACACCAGGAACACGATATGCAAAAAAAAAGATCATATGACATATAAAAACAAATGGCCGACGGTAAAGTTGGTTGCCTTACTATGTAATAAAATAAAATAAATGCCTAAAACACGAACTCTACTGAATATAAGTAACAAGCTAGGACACGCGTCATATGTCCACCTTTGTCCAACACCTAGGCAGTTTTACATCACAGATGGCGCATTTTAGACCGGATGCTTAAAAACCTACGTGTGAGTACATTTACCGCTGCATCGAATGTACAAGACAAGTAAAACATTACTGCTAGCATGTCTGAGATATGTTCGGCACCCGATGAGTCACGTTCATATATTGGTGGTTTCTACTGGTAGGTATATGTTCCGCCAATAATAATTAAGCATTTTAGAATTTATGCGATATATTACATACATGTATGTATAGAATATGCACACAATCTGTTACATTTTTCTCTAGGAATCACTTTTTTTGGTTGAATTTAGTACCGAGAACAACACCCGTTGAGTTCATTATAGAGCAATAGTAAAATTTAGGTTATGCTCTTTGGTTTGTTCCTTGAAATCAAGCTTTGTTAAATTTGTGTCCATTGATTTGGGTTCATAATGACAGCGCCAGCTACCGATAGTGTTGAATTTAAATTTATTGATGAAGTTAAAAAACTAAAGGGAAGGTCAAACACACGATTAAATATTTTGTTTAAAGAAGAATACGACGCACTCTTTGCTGAGGTAATGTACTTTTTAACAACGTTTTTTATCGTTTAAATCACATTATTCTTATAGGTAAATGATGCTTCTTATAGGGGGCCGAAGAGCCATTTACAACATCGTAGACTAAACAGATTTGAGATTGTTAAAATTGGAGATGTTGAAAAACTTGTATCGAAAAATAAAGTTGTACAAAATGAAGATTCCAATAATATTGTGATTGATATGCAAGATCTTCGCTATTATAGTTTCTGTTGAGAAAATGTATGACATTTTAACAAATATCCACAGAAGTGTAGGTCATGGAGGGAGAGATCGAATGAAAGCTGAAGTATCAAAACACTACTCAAACATTACAAAAGAAATTATTTTCTCGATTTTTATGTAAGAATGTCATATTCTCGCACGCAAAATCGTTGAAGAATGAAGCTCATTCTTAAACGATTTTTGGTAACATTTAGTTTTTAAGTATTGGTACCCCCAAAATGTCAAACTGATTAATAACCTCAAATTCATTACTTTTATTGAAAATGAAGCCTTTATTATTGTTTTGTAATATAAAGTTTGCTCCAAAATGCATTTTAATGCAAAATTTTAAGTTTAATGTGTAAAAGTGCAGTTCAGGTTGTACTTGTGCAGGATAACAAATATTGTCATTTTGTGTTGCCAACTGACATTTTGCGAGAAAAATCCCCTAACTAACAACGACCACAAAACAATTAAAAAAACCTAAATAAAAGTTAAAATCGAGAAAATAGTATAAATCACACGTTGCAGAAGGCTATTCTCGCACTCATTCGTTCGTCCACTCGCTCCTTCGTCGCTCGAGGCCAAATTTCGAATTCGTGCGAGAATATGTGGCCTTCTGCAACTTGTACTTTAATATACTATTCTCGATTTTTATGTAAGAATGTCATATTCTCGCACGCAAAATCGTTGAAGAATGAAGCTCATTCTTAACCTTCTACTGGTGGCGCACGGCCTAACAGGCCCAAGCGATCTTATTTAGCGGATCATTATGAAAATAATTAAGAGACAACTCTGTATTTTTCAGTACCTTCCTAACTTTTTGCATAGAAAGGTGTAGTGCAATGTTTATTTACTTACAGTTCTAACTTAAAAAGTTATAACCTAAAACGGCCTGAAAGGCCGGGCGCCACCATTTATGTTATACGACTATTTTGTGGCATATTAATTATTTAGCATATTTTTATACTTAATTCTATCAAATATGGTCATATTTTATGGGCTTATGAATGTGGCTGGAATAAATGCCCAAGTAATACACACTGCTAATAATTCAAATTATTAATGCGAAAGCTCTTGAAGAACGGCGCTATGTCCTAGTAGAAGCATTTGAAACGCCGTTCTATGGAACAAAATTTACCAACTGAGGTACGTCAAAGGCGACAAGAAGTAGCTGGGACTTCTACCGATAATGTTGAACCTCAACTAATACCCCATGGGACCAGAAAAATGTGTGCAGAATGTCGCATAGACAGAAGGACCACACACTTTATAGCTAAAAATTTCTATGTATGACCCATGCCAAAATTATGTGTCATAATTGTGTGGAAAAAATCAAAACCACGTTTAATACGATATTTTGTTATTCAAGCTTATAAACCATTTGTTGTTTTTTTGGTAGAATAATTTTTTTATTTAGTTTTTTGTGAAATAATATTATGTCACCTTATAATCCTGTCCCCATAAAATTAACCCCATATTTCAAACATATGAGGTTTTTTTGCAAAAAAAATCAGTTACCTTGGTCACAATAGGATTAAGTAATAAATTAAAAGAAAAAAAATTCACAAAGAAAAAATACTAGCATAAATATGATTTTTTTAAATTTACGGGCCTGACAGGCCGGGCGCCACCACCAATGTTAAATATAAGGCGCCACTACTACAAGGTTAAACGATTTTTGGTAACATTTAGTTTTTAAGTATTGGTACCCCCAAAATGTCAAACTGATTAATAACCTCAAATTCATTACTTTTATTGAAAATGAAGCCTTTATTATTGTTTTGTAATATAAAGTTTGCTCCAAAATGCATTTTAATGCAAAATTTTAAGTTTAATGTGTAAAAGTGCAGTTCAGGTTGTACTTGTGCAGGATAACAAATATTGTCATTTTGTGTTGCCAACTGACATTTTGCGAGAAAAATCCCCTAACTAACAACGACCACAAAACAATTAAAAAAACCTAAATAAAAGTTAAAATCGAGAAAATAGTATAAATCACACGTTGCAGAAGGCTATTCTCGCACTCATTCGTTCGTCCACTCGCTCCTTCGTCGCTCGAGGCCAAATTTCGAATTCGTGCGAGAATATGTGGCCTTCTGCAACTTGTACTTTAATATACTATTAATCTATTTGTCACTTTGCGAGGTTTGTCATTTAAAGAGGTTTAAAAAACGAAAAGGCCTTACTATAAAACCTAAAGTTCACAAAGAATTTAATAGCCGTGCTCAAATTGATTTAATAGATATACAGTCTGAAGCAGATAATGAATTTGAATTCATACTTAAGATCATCTCACAAAATTTGTCATTATCCGTGCTTTAACATCAAAGACAGCTTTGGAAGTAAGCAAACATGTTAAAGATATTTTCTGTATCTTTGGTGCACCGTCTATACTGCATAGTATAACTTTATCTTTATTTTAAGTAATTTTTTTTAATTATAGTGATAATGGGAGGGAGTTTGTAAATAAAATAATCCAAAATTTAACGGCAGAATGGGAAGGTTTGAAGCTGGTAAATGGGAAACCTCGTCATAGCCAAAGCCAAGGCAGTGTTGAACGAGCAAACGCTGATATTGAGGCAATGCTAGCCACCTGGATGTCTGACAATGGAACCAAAGAATGGTCAAAGGGTATAAGTACAGTTCAATTTATGAAAAACAGATCTTTGCATGCTGGGCTAAAAATGTCGCCATATAAAGCCTTATTTGGCACTGAACCCAAAGTTGGTCTTGCAACAGAAAACCTACCTGTCGAATGTGTTAGAGAAATTATAAACGAGGAAGATTTGGATATGTTACTGCAGAATAACGACGATGATGAAAGCAGCTCCGAAAATGAAAATGTGCCGGAAACTCTACAAAACCGAAACACATGTATTTTGGCCATCAGGAGTGAAGCCTCAGGAAATCTTCAACAGCAAGCAAATAAAATGCTAAAAACTTCCAATGCAAAATATTCGCCATGTTTAGTAGGTACCAATGTTACAGTTCCTATTCCAGGTGTTGATCGTGCACGTGGCTCCTTCCGCAATGTAATTGCCGTTGTGATGGAAATAAATGAAGTCAATGGCACTTATAGACTTGGAACAAAGGATGGAATGTTACAGCAATTATATGTCCGATCTCAATTTGAGAGCTGTTCAAATTCAACTTTTTTGCATATTAATGATGTGCCAAACAACTTCCCTTAGAAAAGCAGCTGCAATTTCTTCTGGTACTATGCAAGGTTACCAACGATGTAATTGTACCAAGTTCTGCAAAAACAGAACTTGTCGTTGCAAAAAAAATAGCAGACTATGCAACAGTAAGTGCCACCAAAGTTCTTCCTGCTCAAATAAATGAATCATTTATTGTTAAAACAAGCTAAGTAACTTTTTGCAAAATCAAGAAACTCAAAATATGAATTGAAAAATATGCAAAAAGTTGCTTAGCTTGTAACAATAAACAATTTAAATACATTTTTAGGTTTTAAGTTTTTGTTTGTTTTTTTACTCTGTGGAATAGTAATTTATTTTTGTTTTGTTTTATAAGTTTTATTTTATAAAATAGTATTTTAAAAATACTTAAACTCAAATTATTTAAATAAATATATTTTAAAATATCTGTCTTCTATTTTACCTACATTATTAGGAGTATACTCCTAATAACTATAACGTGAAAAGAAAATAATATTAATGTGATATATTAATGCATTAATAAGTTTAGTTTAATATAAAAACGCTTAGCCAAATTTTATATTACATTTTAATAATACAATAGTAGCACTAAAAAATGTTGTTCCAGGGAATATCTATTTGGGTTTAAATCATACAATGCAATGGATTGATTTGCCCCGCCCACAATGTATATTGACTGAAATATTTAGTTATTATGCATAATGCCTAAAGTTCTTAGTTTTTATGCATAATGACTAAAAACTTTAGGCTTTATGCATAAATCCTAAAATGCTTAGTCATTATGCATAATGACCGTTTTCCGATATTGGCGGTAACATATACATAAACCTATGGTTTCTTCTATATTTTTACAAAAACAACCTTAACCTGGGCCCATAACCTGTTGGACGTGACTGAGAAATAATAGTCGTTGTTTTTTTTTAATTAATTTTTTGTAGTATTTTTGTATATTAACGTATCTTGATATGAACAAACACTTTATTATCATGAAAAAACGCAGTGTCAGTGTCGCAAACGTTACAATGGAAATACCTCTGGTTAAATATAAAAAATTCACGACTACGTGCATTGCTTTTGTAGGCCAATATTTAAGGCATGATTTAATGGATTAAATTATCTAAATAGTCGCCTTTAATTCCTTATTTAAACATTTTTCTCAAAGGCCTCCGTTTTAAAGATATTAGCAAAAAATCTAAATGATTATTATGCAAAACTTCAAAAAAGGAAAAGCTACAGTTTTAAAAAACATATTTTTAAACTTTGGAGGACATCCTTGTTTCAATAGTGCAGTCAGTTTTTGGCGTCATTTTTATGTGACCTATGACTCGTTCAGGACCAGTGTAAAGTAACAAGATGTTGTCGACTGACATTCTAGAAAGATTTCGGTCTTCAAGCCAGTACTTCCTGAGTTTTACGATCAGTCTTTGTACAGCCGTGAATTCTCTGAAATCTTACGAAAAATCTAAAAGAAATGCTTTAAATGATATTAAACTGCAGGAAACGAATTGTCCGATGAACAAGGGTATGGAAGCGTGCGAATGTTTGACTGAGACCCCTAGATTATGGAATAGCGCATGTTGAAACGCTTTGATAAAGTCAATATCAATGCTATAATTGATTGTTTTTTCATTTCTCCAATAAAAGTTAAAGTTTATTCATTCAAATAGCAATTGAGGGTAACGGATTGATATTATTAGAAATATTATATTCAGCCAATATCAAAATAGAATCAAGTTAAAATTATTTGTTATAGTGTAAATGGGTCTTTATATTTAAACCTAATGAAAATATGTACTTCCTTGAACATTTTAGAAATGATTATATTCAAAGTTTATCTGATCAAGGTACCTGCAATCGCGTATGTGCGTATAGTTAAATGTGATCAACTGATTAATCGGTATTTCTGGTGACACCGATTGATGTAAGTGTATCTCTGGTGTTTCAAGGTAAGTTGTACATGTTTTTTAATTGTAGGTATGTCCGACATGTAATTTAATTACTCAATTATATCTAAATGATAACAAAAAGGTAAATGTGTACTCATTGGGGAAGGTGGGGGAATTTTGCGCGATGGGTAATTTTACGCATAAACAATTCTTCCAGATATAAAGTAAATAATACATTTTTTGAATGTTGCAAACTTGGAAACGTTGCTTTGGGTATACGGGGACTAAAGTGTACTTACCGCAATTAAGCTTGTAGCTTTTAGCTAGTGACCATGGTCACTAGCTAACTGTGATACATGTACGTTGATCTAGGAAATCCATTTTGTTTCCGCTACGAGTTAAGTTTAAATTTCTGTTCAATCGCTTAAATGTTTATAACACAACTTTATATGATCTTTCCTCGCAATCTGGTGTATGTTTAAATTGTTCAGGTTAACTTTTGGAAAGTTTTTTAGTATCACAATATTTTTCTTGCAATGGGGGTAATTTTACGCTGAAAAATTGGGGTAATTTTGCGTTGGTACAGGAGCCTAGATTGTTCAGCATAAACAGTTCCATTTGGGCACACGCGGAGTGTAGCGAAAAAAACAACCCCTAAAACTACATATGTGACAACTGCTGCATGTACACCCTCCTCTTATTTCTAAGAACAAAAATTTTATTTTTAGTTATTTATTTTTGATTTTGTTTGTTTTGTTTGTTTCATAGAGAAAATAGTTTTGTTTTATGTTTATGTTTTAATATAATAATATTATAGAAATAAACGGTTTATTTAGATACCTACAAATCTTTCTCTATACAGCGCAAATTTTCCCCCTATGATGCGCAAAATTACCCTGATAGGTAGGTAATTTTGCGCAAATGCATTATTTAAAAAAATGTAGTTTTTGCATACCAAACAATTTTTTTTTATAAATTGCACATTATATACATATAGTAAACATAGTAGACTATCGCTGGTAATAATTGCAAAATTTCACATTTAAACTTAACAAAGATTTTGCTTAGATGCGCAGAATTCCCCCACCTTCCCCTATACCTAATTGATATTCGGTGTCATGCCTTAAAATTTTGGTAAATGGACGAAGTTTTTATTTATTTATAAAAACCTTCTCATAGCCTTTCAGTACCATCATGATATCCTTGCAGGGCGTCCTGAAAGTATATATTGCTTTAGGACGTTCAGCAATCTTTAGGATTCGCCTCTAAATACATAAGATGAACTTCCTATTTCGTTTTAGAATAACAATGTGCCATGACAGACAGATCCTGCACAATTGCACAATTGCATTTGCGCAAATGCATTATTTAAAAAAATGTAGTTTTTGCATACCAAACAATTTTTTTTTATAAATTGCACATTATATACATATAGTAAACATAGTAGACTATCGCTGGTAATAATTGCAAAATTTCACATTTAAACTTAACAAAGATTTTGCTTAGATGCGCAGAATTCCCCCACCTTCCCCTATACCTAATTGATATTCGGTGTCATGCCTTAAAATTTTGGTAAATGGACGAAGTTTTTATTTATTTATAAAAACCTTCTCATAGCCTTTCAGTACCATCATGATATCCTTGCAGGGCGTCCTGAAAGTATATATTGCTTTAGGACGTTCAGCAATCTTTAGGATTCGCCTCTAAATACATAAGATGAACTTCCTATTTCGTTTTAGAATAACAATGTGCCATGACAGACAGATCCTGCACATCCAGTACAGTAACTGTTGCTAGTGATAGGTCAGCAACTTTCTTAGAGTAGTATCACCAACACTTCTAGTGGGTTCCTAATAGTTCCTACAGAAAACAGAACAATTTTATTTTATGGATCGCCTCCACAAGACTACCAAAGGCAGTTTCCAGAATTCATTTTATTTAAAGTTTATATTAATGTATTACAGAACTAATATTTGCACAAGAATATACATATTTATAAATATGGAATTAGAGCTTTGATTGCATTTAATGTAGCCATTCATTAGAAACCATAACTTTAATTTATGCCAATGATAGTTTATCATTAAGATTTATTGTGGCTTCAATTAAATAACAATTTAATATAATAATTTCTTATGTTTTAACTAAGTTTTAATACGGATTTAATAGGATCACAATTTAATTCAATGACTTCTTATGTTTGAACTAACTTTAAGCAGGTTTGCACAAATAAATGTAAGACACTCATTTATTTGATCATAGCTGTAATTCAGGTATTGCAAATACAGTACAACATTGGCTCAATGTTTATACCATTCCCAATATGAAAGCTTTTTCTCTTTGCGTTAACGAAAGGCAATTCCTCCCTGTCATCGACCAATTCATCGTATTGTTAAATAAACGAATTTCAGCGTACGAAGTCGTTGATAAACAATTTGGATTCTTATCTAAATTAACCACAATGGAACCGAAGGCTGAGAATATTATTTAAATTTGCCTCATCATCGCTCAGTGCCGGAAGTGATAACAGCTGGTCGTTCGTATAAATTTACAGTTGTACTATTAGTCCAGTCAAACCGTCGTGACGGTCGATTGACTTTGCGTGCTGAGGCACTGTCTGTTCTTTTTTAATGAATTTATAGGGGTTTATTTGAAAAGCATAAATGGCTATTTACATACCATGGGAGGAAAATAGTGCTTTTCCTCCCGCGAATAGTTTGATGCCCGACGCGAAGAATATGCGGGGGTAGAAGATGACTTTTTCATTTGCGAGCTGTGCGAATAATTTTTAAATTTTAAATTTTTGAAGGGCGCAACAGAATTTGCTTTTTTTGTTTTTGTTTAATTAATTTATTTAATAAATTCGTTAAAAACTATCAAGAGGTATTATTATTAATGCGTGCAGGTGATACCCGGGGCATAGAGGACCAATGTAATAAAAGTGTTTTTTTTTATCTTTACCAAAAGATGTTACATTTTTTTCGGTTTTGTACAAAATTAGTTACACCATATTATATAGGTTTTCGAAAAAATTGCTTATGTCTATACTTTCATATATAGCTGAAATATAAAAAAAAAATGCTTAAGCGATCCTCGCTGCCCCGGTCTCCCCTACCTATTCAGTTAAGA